TGGGATCAAAGAAAGCTTGCCTTGTGCGCTCTGTGAGACCCCGTAGCGCTTTCACTGAAGCCGATTATTTCAGTGAGCAGAAGACGCGACCTTAGAAAAGGAAGCTCTATCAATAACCTGGAATCAACCAGTATAAAATTTCTCCTTATCTGGAACTCTACTAGGAGAAATGCTATCAGCAGCCAGGTGCTAGCTGGCAGGAAATTGCCTGCCCTGGGCCGCCTCTCTATTCCTTACCCTTCTGCCCCCCCCACCCCCTCTACCCAGACTCCTCTCCGTGCAGTACTGCACTCCATCTGACAGCTCTGACAGCAGAGATGAATTCCACAAACAGCAAAAACACAACTTTCCGCTCCATCGCAAGGAGCCGGATGGCGGATACTATTTTCAAAGACTTCTTTGTCCATAAGATGGCGTTTGAATTAGGAACTTGTTTAGCCAGATTCTCTTGTTACAATTTACTGATTCATTGGGTGGAGAATGGGAGGGAGAATGACAGAGCCAGACAGATTCAATTAATGATTTTTTTTTTAAAAGATCTTTTTCAAGTACAAATGCATCTTAAAATACATGCAGAATTAGACAGCAGGAAGAATTATGAATTTTAATCTGCTCGTGCCTTTAAATGGCCTTCTGAGAGGAAATAAGCTACTTTATCAATACTTTTCAGAGAAAAATTGCTAAGCTGTAGCAGATTGAAATCTGCAGCATTTTTCTGAGGAAGCAGAGATGGAGGAGAAAGGCCTGAGAAGAAAAATCATCAAATCTCTCCTGGTCTATCAGCACGACCATAATAAAAGTTAAGCGTCAGGATTAGTAACATGGAAACGAATTCATGTTTCAGCAATAGAAGAAGCAAAGAGAGGGATCAGATTCAGTTCTCACACCTGTTCTGTACAGATGCAGATCTTTTGACTTCTCTAAAGTTTTACCTCTGTATCATGTCAGCATGGATAAGTCTGGAACCAGATCCAAGGAGATACTTTCACATTACACTCCAGCCTGCTGCTTTCTGCAGTCTGACCCATGCCGCTTGGCAACACTTTTGCTGGGATACCCCAGGACCCACAATGCCAACACAGCCTCACTTCTTCCTCTGCCCTTCTTCAGCCAGACCTGAGTGGTTTGTACCTGCTTTCATGAACTCCCAGCTTCCTCTCTGAGATGCTGAACACTGGTGGTTTTCACAGCTTCTACTTTAATTTGTAAAGTTCCTTGGAAACATCCACAAGTGTCTAATCTTTCTCTGGGGGGAAGGGGAAAGGTCTGGGCTGGTCTTGTGTGACTTCAGCCGTTTAATTTGTCTATCATTACTTCATGGGTATAAGTTACCAGGAATGCAATTCTCAACTTTCTTGCTCAAAAAAAGGCAGAGGTCTAAGTTTTCATTCATTTCTTTGATTGACAAAAGAAAATTTAATGTCTTTGGGGGCTTATTTTCCTAGGTCTTTCTTCTTCAGCACACATACACATGTGGTCATTAGAAACGTCACACACACAAACACTGTTTTATGTAGAATTTAAGTGGGAAGAATTATAGAACACAGAATAGTGATATAAATAACATATACTTTTATTAAGTCCATTTTCACATTGAAGGTTTATTTAGAAAATTTTTCAACTTTCAAATTTCCTTTTTTTCCCCATTTGCCCCTCTCAAGACAGCATTTGGAATAGGTAGCTGAGTGCAGGGAAGGGAGACTACTTCTGAATGAACTTTAGTCAGTTTAATAAAACTAGAACAAATCAGTGAGCCACCCAGGCTTCTAATGCTCTCAGTATTCCCACTGATGGTTCCACAACATCAAACAGTATGGAAAACATTTTCAAAGTAAGTCCTCCGTATTCTGAAACACGTCCCTACAGGCAGAGAGATGGAGGTTTTCTTGGCCTACCTGCTTAAAATAGGTCGTGCTCTGCATTCACAATCGACTTGAAGTCAGGCGTACTTCTTCAAAGCGAAGCCCCAGCGAAGGCTGCTCTGCAAGAGCTGGGATTGCACCACAGCCCAGCTCAGGGAGGTGGCCCGAGAGGCATGGAGCCCTCTTCTTGGACCTGTTCAGAAGGGCTCAGCTCTCCCTTAGCCTTGGCTGGCACAGTGAGACCACCCGTTCCTGACTCCATGCAGTGCTCACACCCCACGCCATCCTGAGCCTAAACTCACTTTTCAGGTTTCAGCAGCCACAGCTTTGCAATCAAGTTGTGATACACAGCTACACGCAGCTTATAGGAGACAGCCAAACTGAGCAGCATCTGCAGAGCTGCTGTATAAGCACCTGAACATGAAGCCATGCCTCCACCGCAACACGCTGTCAGTGCAGCAGGGAGTCATCTCTCCATCTGCTTTATCTGCACCACCAGAGCAGTTTTACTGCCCCAGCAGTGGAAATGTGTCTTCTTGTGATAGCGGATGTCCTGTGCCAAAGTAGCACATTTCTGTTCCCAGGGAACAAGAACTACACAAGTGAAACTACTTCCATCCGTACAGCCACCTCATGGTTTTGCCTCTGTAAAAGTGCAAACCCAGAATGTTTTTACTGGCAAAAGGTTCTGTCTGAGCCTTACATCAATAGAGGGATATTGCAATAGCACAGGGCCTTTGGGGCAAAGTCAGCTGCTGTGGGTGAAACAAATAATTTCTCTCTTTTGTCTCTCCTTCTGCCATCCCTTCCTCTCTCTCCTTCCTTTTCTCCCTCCCCCAGGTGAAGCTAGCTGTACGTATCCATTTAATGGCATTTAGGCATCTGTCGAACAGTGAGGCTGTTCCGGGATCACAGACAAGCGGGCCAGGTGTGCCCTGTGTTCTGCCAGCAGGGCAAAGCCAGTTCTCCAAGTGTAGCCCTTTTTGCCCTCTGTGGGTCCTCTATGGGACCACCTGCTCTTTCTTTTTTGGCCCACCAGAGCTCTTGTTCTATGGAGGTAAGAGGAAAAGCTGGAAGTCGAGGTGATGTGGTTAGCATCCAGCTGTGGTCACAACAATATGCAGCTGTAGGCTGTCTGTGGTTAGCTTGGATCAGTGTATTCAGCTGCATGAGCTTACCTGCTCATTTTGTCTGGGAAGTGCAGGATGTCTCTGTGCATACTGCTGTGGTGCCTGGATTCTGTGGCTCTGGTGGCTGAAGCCTGGTTGTGCCAGCATGCTTTGTTTCACTCAACACAGAAGATATTAAGTGTAATTCTTGTGGATGCCCCCTCAGCTACTTTGCTTCTACCTTGCTATTAGAGGGCTATGAGCATAGAGATAAAGTTGCTGCTCCAGGTAATTTAGAGAGGTCTCTCAGTTTCTCCCTTCTGGCATCAGAGATGGAGGTGGGTGCTGCAGCTCTTAAGGCCACTTATCTCTAAGGAGTTAGCAAATAACAGCTGGCTTTGCCAAATGAGCTGCTGTGTTCTCCTAGTGACAGCACTGAAATTAAGGGGTCCTTTGCTCGTCCTCTCAAGAGAGGCTTAGGACAGTAACTGTAATTGGCAGAAATCGCTCATGGTTCTGGGATTCCCAGAAGCAGATGATAGTGTGGATGCCAGAAGGACTGAGAAAGTCAAAGGGGGGACCACGCTCTGTGCTTTTGAAAGCCAGAGGCACCCTGAATTAGCAGCTGCTTTCAAAAAAACTTCTCCTCATTCATGCTTTTTCGTTATGGCATCTTTAGGTCAGTATAAAATCACTGACTTCAGCTGGGTTATCCCTAAATTTTTTAGTTTGAGTGCGAAGGAAGCAGTATGCTTTTCATTGTGCCCCAGTGAATAGCAGCACATTTCCCACTGGCAAAGGAGTGTTAGCAGTGACTCTGTGAACCAACCAAACAGGGAAATACATTCAATTGCGTTAGTGGTGGAGGGGATTTATAGCACATTGGGAGCTTTCCACTTAGGCCAGAATTTAATTGAGGAGGGGGGTGGGGGTAAAGAACTGAAGGAAACACAGTTCCCTTGTTAAAATGAAATAATGAGTTTAATATATACGGGCAGAAAGAGGAGGGAAGTCCTTTCCCTGTTAAATATTTACCATTTGAGCTCTGCTTAGGCTCCTCATTTTCTGTATATCTAAAGGTGGTGGCACTGGTGACAGTAGGATATGTTTCTTAATGTATTCCTCCCTCTCAACCCACCTTGCATGGGAAACAGTGGCGGTAACAAAAAGCAGACTGTTCTCTCCTCATGAATATTAATCAGTAAACTCCCCCTGCTATTTTAAATCGAAGGCTGGTGCTAAAGCCCTTTTTTCCCCAACTCAAGCATCCCCCGAGGAAAACCCTGAAAGTCCTGGGAACGCGGTGCACAGAGGCTGCCGTGACTGGAGGCCTTCTCAGCAGTGACATATAAAACTCTGAGGTCAGGGGGCACAGCGAGAGGAGGAATCAGCTTTGTTTCCACTATGTGTTGCTGAAAGCTAAACCTTTATGGAACTTTTCTAGCTGCATTTTTGGCTATTTAGCTTGGAAAACAAAAGATTTATTTATTTTTTCTTATTCATCACAGTTTTTGTCCTAAGCTGACAGCAGTGACATAAGAAGGACCCTCCCTGCTCTGAGCTGAAGCTGTGCATGCTCCATCAACCATCACAGCTTTGGAACAAATATTATACAATCTTTAAGGGGAAGGAGAGGAACAGAAAAATGATTGCCAAGAGCCAAAGTAAACAGTCATGACATAAATGCATTCTTCTAAATAAGAAAATTAAAAATCTCCCTGGCAAGTAAAATGCATTGATCAGAACATATATAGTACTAGATGATGTCCAGGAATCCAGCTGTGTGTCTTCACAATCCACTCAGCTTCACATCAAACCACAGCAATATTCCCAAGGACATGGGGTGATACAGCCGGAGGTTGGCTTGCCTCCTAGATAACCCTGAGCAGTGCTGAATAATTCTTTGAACTCAAAGCAATTTGCGACTGTGTTCAGAAATAACACACAAACTTGCCAAAATCCAGGAGTGTATCAGCAACCAAAGTGTATTTTTCTAGTGCCTATAATGATAAGGTGATGCAGAGCTCTGTTGTTTTCTCTTTGGAGCAGAACTAGCACTTGCGGTGTGCTAGAGGATTTCCCATGCCAAAGATGCAATTCATGTTCTGAAGAGTGTACAGTAAAGAATAATGTTTTAAAATCTTTGTCCTTTATCAAAGGATCTGGATAGACTTCAAAGAACATTTTAATCTATATCTTACAGCTGGAAAAGCTCAGGCAAGGAGAAATGACATGGCTTCCCCAACGTGATCTGCTGAGTTGGTGTCAAACCAGGAGGAAGATCCTGTGTTTCCTGCCTGCTGTGTGGATGCTGTGTCTCATCATGTTGGCAAGGTCAGTGCCACGTGTTGTGCAGACTGATATGCTGGTTGCAGACTTTCAAAGTGTGAGATGCTGAATACTGTAAGCAAATGTAGGACTTGTTGTGGGGCACGGGACATATTCAAGCTCAACAGCCCAAACAGTCTTGTGGTTGCTGTGAGCCTTTGCAATTCTTAAACATTTCAGTGTTTGAAGAGTACCACCGCGTAAGATCAGTATCTTAGGTTGGGTGGCTGCAGTGATTTTGGTCCAGAGCCCTAAACTAAATGTAGTTCCATATCCTGGAAGTAATTCTGAGATAAACAGCCAACTGTGCTCAAAGGAAAAGATCTTCAGATAGAACCTGTGCTTGTACTTGCAAGATCTAGTATGTGTATTTCTGCAGCAAGGTCTCAAATAAAAATCTTGGTAGATCACAGAAAGTTTAATAGTTTTCATCAAGCTGCAGTTGTCTTGTTCAGCACTTCTGAGGAGATGGCAGCAGTACAATTTTTCCAGGACACAAGAATGAGAAGCAGCTGTAACTAATAACTGCAGGTATAGACATGTATCTGTAATTAGAGGTAGTTTACAGTTTCCTGGATTTAAGTGCTTGCAACTGATATTTATTCTTGCTTTTCACCCTTCTTTGGAGGAACTGGAATACAGCTGAGTGGTCCAATTGGTGGTGAGCAAGATGGAAATAGCATCAATCAGTTTTAATGGAATTTCTTAAATGTGTAGAATGTGAAAATACAACTATTTGCTAAAAATCAGGTTACTCATTTCAAATGGAAGTGTTTGGCTATGAATGTATTCTGAATACCATGCTGCATGATGACAATTCTGAAAGAGATCAGAGTTACTGTAAATTTGAAAAAAAAATTACTCAAACTGTATGGAAAGAATGCAGCAATTGTCTGTTCAAGCAGTTGCCCTCAAGGCAGTGTTTTGTGAATATGTAAAATAGTTGTGTATTAATTGGGAGGCCCAAGTGCAAATTGATAAATGTGTTTTTGATATGGACTTGTAGCAGAAATTGGGAGAGACCAGAAGCACATTATGAGAACTAGTTATTTCCTCTCAGCTGAACACTTTTCTGGAATCCTTCTACCTTCATGCCAAGAGGCCATATTTTTTCTGCTAACAGTTGCAGGTATTCACCACTGTGTTGCCTGTTGTATATAACAATAACAGGGAATTTTCAGCAGGTGCATCTAGCACACTGGAGATCAGGTGAAGGTGACTCTTGATCTCAAACTTGTGTTTTTGTCTGAGCGCATTACCTAGTCCTGCAAAATGAGAGCCAGCTGTACTTATCCATTGTACTTCTCCTCCTCAGTTCTTGGAAAGAGAACAGAAGGGGTGCTGAGATATCAGCAGTCAGTGCTGTGGATGCAGTACTCCTTAGCCTGGCAGCAGTCAGCTATGACTTTAGATGCCAGAGCCAAGGCTGGTCGTGTTTTGGAGATGCTTGCTGTCTGAGTACTTTTTTATGGTGCATGTGGGAATCGTTTCTACTTTTTTTTCTGCTTTTTCCCCCAACTGCCTTGTTGACTTCTGCACTCCACAAATTTATCAGGTAACAGCTCTTTCCCTGTGGTCTTTTCTCTTTACTTATCTAAGGATTTGAATACCTCCCAGTTAGTGATTCCTGGCAGAGCAATGTATGCCACTGATACAGCTCACAGCCTGCTTGCCTTTTCACTTTCCTGTTTGACCTTTTAAATTTTGTTATTTCACAAATATTCTGTCTGGAAATTTTACGCTCTTAGGATACTTAAAGAAAATTCTCTCTTGGTACAGTTGTCTAAACAAGCTAGTCAGACCTTGAAAGGATATCATTTCCCTTGAAAGTGCATCCACACAGATAATTGATAGCGTAGCCATCTTTCCAGCCAGATGGTTTCCTTATGGATGCTTACACAGAAGAAAGTCTGAGGAGCAAAGTAGCCCTTGTACCCTCAAAGCTTCTTAGACTAAAATCAACACTCCAGAAGGGTATAAGCTAATAAAGAGAAGCCGTGCATTTCACCTGATAATTTGCTTCATAGCAAGAGAAAAGTAATTTCTATGCATTTATTAGTTCTTTCTCCAATATTTATCGTAGAAAGATATAAAATATGAATACGTATGTATATGTATATATATATATGCAAAGAATTTAGTGCTGCATAAGACATAATGTTACACTGCAATCTCCACTTGCTTTTATCTCACACTCTTCTTCACAGAGATCTGTAGAGGAGTAAAATCTGTGAAGTCTTCTAAGGAAATGAAGCCACTTCCTCTGGGGAATTAACAGTGTTTATAGTACTTCATAATCATGCCTCACAGCTAAGGTTGAGCTAGTTTGCCTTTCACTTTTGGGACCATCATACAACTTATAGTAGTATCTGACTTCTATGTTGAACACAAAACATGGCAGCAGCCTCTTCTTCCTCCTTTGTGGAGAAGCTCTAGGCACTGAGTTGTTCACAGTACATGAAATGCTGCCATTTACTGCTGCTGTGCATGCTTGTATGCTGCCTGAGTGGAAGTTCCCCCTCTCCTCTGGAAAGGATGTGTGGGAGTGTCTCGAAGGATGGATGGTCTGTGGGTAGGTTGTGCTGGTTAGTGTACAGGTAGAAAAAGAGATCATCAGTTTAAGACAGGAGGACTTGGGGGAGGCGGAGAGGAATCAACCACATGGGAGCTTGAATGCAACAGTACATTCTGACAGTTCTTGCAGAAAAAAAGCCTCACTTGCTGAGATTATCTGTGTATTATGAAGGGAAAATATGTCATGAATCAGTGGGAGCCTAACTGGAAATTGTCTCAGATGTTGCTTGTTTGTGCTTTGATGTGGACAACCACAGGACTTTACTCTCTTGAACTGATGAGAATAGGGGATTATAGTAGAAAAGAGAGGATACTGGTGCCAGATAGGAAGGAAAGCACGTATCTTCTTAGGAAATAATACTTGGGCGTCCAGCAGTGGGAATCATGGTGGCCATACAGTTCTGCTTATTGCCACTCTTTGATATGAGCCTAGAGAATCATAGAATCAGAAGTACAAAGTCTTTGAGATCATCTGACCATATCTGGCAGAAGGGACTGCAAGATCAGCAATACAGAGATGATAGGAATAGAAAAGCTTAAAGTTTGTGAAAGCTAAACCATGTAAGAGATTGATCTACTGATGTGGCAAGATTGACATTAGTATTAAACTGGCGGTTAATATATGTAAGCATCATACTTCTCCTTACTTAATTTCTTTTTGCTTCTAAGAAACTGCTTCATCAGAACTAAGCAGTTAGGTAGGTGATTCATGTAACACTCATCACTATGTCCAACCTGAGTAATATTGTCTGACTCCGGGAAGCCTTATCCTTCCCATCTAATTTCTCTTCTGCCCTTCTCTTATGTTGTGTTCAGTCTGGAAGCAGGCAGGGGACCGAACTTTGCTGGCTCACATTTTTGCAGTTTGTGCAGGAAAGCCCCAATCCTAATGTTTGAGCCTTTGGGGAACAGTCAAAGTAATTGTAACCTATGGCTTCCTGGTGGAGTATGAGAAATTTGCCCTTGGATAAGGAATGCAGAAATAGTGCAGGCTCTTTTATGGCACAGTGTTTGTGGAGGGGCTGCACTCTGCCCAGGGAGCCTGGCTATGCTAGCATTTCCCTCTCCGATTCCCACCAGGAATTTCCAAAATACCAACTGCTCTGGTGAGGCTGAGGCCTCACTATACCTCTGGAAGGGAACGGATGCCCCTCTGTGTGCCCTTTTGGGTCTTGGCGTAGCCAGGCCTTGAGAAGGACAGAGAGGAGAAGGTCAGGACATGAAAGGAGCTTTATAGTAAGGGAGATGCAAGGAAGAATGACTTTGTCACTCAATTAGCCTGGACTTTCAAAGCATGGAATGAAGTGTCTGGTGCAGTAATGCAGCCCTTGTAAGCACAGTGTGTGGGAGGCAGCAGCAGAGGGGAAGGAAGTGCAGAGGGTTTGTTCAGCAGCTGGCACAGCAGCTGGCCCTGCCCAGCTGCTCACGTACAAGTTGCTTCGTGTCTGTCAGTCACCAGATTCTCTAGCCATGGCACTTGGCACTCTGCTTTGTCTGTTCCTAGTTCTTCCCTGGCGTGAGGCACATTGGCAGGCATGTGCCTTGGGAAAGCAAAGAGCCCAGGGCCAGCACATAGTTGCTTTATGCAGAGGATTTTAAGGCCTGCTTCTATTAAGAAAAGAACACACCAGAGTTAGTGGCTTCAAAACTATCCCTACTTAGTGATAAAACTACTTTGAAAAGCAAAACAGCCTTAAATTATATGATTAAATTTCTATTAACTACTCTGTCCTTGTTAAATGTTTTTGCTTGAAGATTGGTCCATTTCATGCACCCTTCTCTCCTGCTTAGTGAGCACTGGACAAACTCCCATCATGAACTCGTGGAGCTCAGAACCAGGACAGAGAAAATAGCTCTCCAGAGACTAGATTCAAAAGCCTCTATAGCTGTGCAGAATGGATGTAAATAGTCGTGGAGAACTTCTTCCAAGGTTTTTCTGTCCCAGGCTGCCCAGTCCTCTTGGCTCAAATATACTCAGGTATCATCTGTACATGTAGCTAAGTTGTCTGCATCACTTGCTCTTTTCAATGCTGTATGAACAATGAATGTTGGAGATGTGCATATGATAGCTGAGATTTTCAGGTCACGGGAATTAAAACTTTTGTAATGGAGTTGGTGCCCAAATCTCTGGGACTGCCTGACAAGTCAGGCACAGGCAGTGTTATGTGTGTCCTTCTTTCTCCATAAGCCTACTGCATCTCCTGTATTACAGCAACTGTTGTAGTGCATCATCATAAGGATTTCTCACTCCGAAAATGGAAATGTGGCTATGTTACCAGCTCTGTGCCAAAGGGAAGCTAGAGCATAGCTGAGCATTTTTTCCCATGCTTCTGCAGCTCAAGCAAAGATTGCTTTTACCTCTCTGTGTTCTGGTTGACTCGGACCATCCATACTATTCCACTCTAGCCTTTCATCTCGAAGGAGTTGTATTG